TTAGCCGTAAAAAAGATTTGCTCTCGTTGGATCCCACATAAATTGACCGATGAACAAAAAATGGCTCGTGTGAGTTGGTGTAAAGAAATGCTCAAGAAATTCAATCGTGGTGCTTCAAAAGACGTTAATAAAATCGTCACTGGTGACGAATCGTGGATATATGCCTATGAGCCCGAAACGAAACAGCAGTCGACTGTATGGGTCTTCCAAAATGAAGATAATCCAACGAAAGTTGTTCGAGCAAGAAGCACTTCGAAGCGAATGGTCGCCTGTTTTTTCGGGAGAAGTGGTCATGTGGCAACCGTTCCACTAGAGGATCGTAAGACCGTCAATTCTGATTGGTATACCACCATTTGTTTGCCCGAAGTGTTTGGTGAAATAAGAAAAAACAACCACCGACGCAAAATAATTCTTCATCACGATAATGCGAGCTCTCACACATCTTTTCAAACTACTCGATTTTTGACCGGTCAAAACATCGAACTGATGGGTCATCCACCGTACAGTCCTGACCTGGCACCCAATGACTTTTTTTTGTTCCCAAGCGTGAAGAAAAAACTACGTGGTCAACGATTTTCGACACCAGAAGAAGCAGTTGAAGCGTTCAAAACACACGTTTTGGAGATATCAGTTTCGGAGTGGCACGAATGCTATGACAAATGGTTTCATCGAATGCAAAAGTGTATCGATCATCTCGGGGAATATTTTGAAAAACAATAAAACCATTTTCGACAAAAAACAACTGTGTTATATATGTTTTTAAAAAAAATTATGGAGCAACCCTCGTATGTTTACTTCTTTGCGCGTTTGTATGAACGCGCGCTATAAAGTTTCAAGCAACCAGAAAACGCTGCTTATTTTCTGCAATTATCTGCTGCTTATCACTTTCTCTTGTCGTTTTAAATCAACGCAGAAAATTATTTCGTGTCTCTTAAGGATCCTTCGGGTTCGTTATATTTTTCCATGGAAAAACACATAAAGCGAAAAATGCAAAAAAAATGTTTGTAGATTTGTTTTTGCCTTCAATCCAATTCTAATTTGTGCATTTCTTTGAAACGAAGAAAAAAGCGCGTTATTTACAAAAAAGAAATGGATCGATAGCTGCAAACGTAGGTTCATAAACCTGGGAATAACTAACATCGTGTTATGACGTAAAGAAAACACAAAGAATATATTATTAAACTGACCCCACAACTAAACAAATACGTATGAACACAAAAGTTAAAATCTTGAAAAAATGTGATGGGTTCACACAAAAAGATGTGGTTAGCATCAATGTGGCTTAAGGTGGTTCGATTTTTGCGAAAATTCAGAAGGGATACTGGCTATAGTTATAAGTTATGGAAAAATATTTAAGATTTACGAATATGACGTTTTTTTGACATAATTGATGTCACAGACCTAGCGCCTCGAGGGGTCCATTTTTTGAAATTTTACCAAAAATTTCAATTTTTTAAAAATGTTCAACACATTTTAAAAACATTTTTTCTGGTTCGTAACGCTGATAATTAAGTGAAATAGACCACCAAAAGCCATTAAAGAGCTCCCGGACTTACCTCTACCTGAAAATAGGGTCCGAACATGACTGAACATTTTTCAAAAAAATGACCCAACAGAACAAAATGTTAACTAATTATTGAGGTGGTCTGATTTTACTGAAATTGTCCGACTCACTCGGTAACCTTTTGAGAATGTCGAATAGAGATTATCTGTGTGTTATGTTTGATCAATACTTTCGATTCTACATGCCCGCCCCACTCAAGACTTTTACAACAAATGTCGAAAATAACCAATCTTTTGAAATTTGCTTGTGCACCAAAAAGTAATTTTGTCTACAATATTCCATGTTTTCGTCCTGAAAAGAAGAACATGTTTGAGTCTCACTCATTTATATGTAAATTACATAGGCATTTCCAGGCCATGAGAAAACCCTAGCAATGAAAGTGAGGACCTAAAAAAGGTCCTAGCAAATCGGAAAGATTAAAAAAAATCCATAAAAAATAAGCAGAAAGTGAAAGACGAGGTGAAATTCTGATATTTTTCCATAAATAAAAGGTCACACAAAGTTTATTTATTCCATTTTTGTCGAACTATGTCCAAAAAAGAAACAAATTTGCTTCATCTGTCACTGTCCGAATGTACCAAACCAAGAGGAGTGTTAACCATCGATTAACACAGAGTTTCGAATTTTTCAATGCCAATTCATTCAATTATAATTACCATTAGTTAATGTAAATTGAAATTTTCAATTTATTTTTTTCAATTCATTGAATTGAATTTTCAATTACCATTTACATTCAAATTGATAAATGAATTGAAATTTATTTCAATTGCGTGAAGTTGCAGAGATTGATGCCTTATGCGGCATTTGTGCATAGCTAATGTCAAAAGTGAGGTTAATATTTGAATGCGCACATTCAACAATAACGGTTGCTCGTTGCTGTGTCAATAAGTTTAAAAGAAATCGCAGCAATGAAAACAGTTTCAAATTTTAATTTTTTTAATTTGTATATTAATATTAAATTTTAAATATATATACATTTTAATTTACATTCAAAATGTTATTATAAATGAATTGACGGTAAAAAATTGAAAACAATCGAGAGTAGTATTATGGGAGCCAACTAGAATCTCTGCAACTTCACGCAATTGAAATGAATTTCAATTCATTTCTCAATTTGAATGTAAATGGTAATTGAAAATTCAATTTAATGAATTGAAAAAAATAAATTGAAAATTTCAATTTACATTAACTAATGGTAATTGATTTTCAAATAAATGAATTGAAAAAACTAATCATTATTTCAAACTCTGGATTAACACAGCATTTCATAGTGAATTTGATGTATTTTTATGGATGGGCGTTACATTAATGTGGTTCGGTTGGTCTGCGACATTTATGTTGCAATTTTTTTCTGTTTTCGTGGATCAATCAAACTTTTACCATTCCTCGACAAATTAATTTGTATATTTTCTGTGTTGAAATCATCATAACCAATTGCGCACTTATTTCTCATTCCACATTTACAACTGATGATGACAAATAAAAATATGGTATCAAAACTTTAGCTGATTTTGACCGCAGATAACTTGGTAATTGACGCATATATTTTTGGTTGATTTGATTTGAAATGGTTCTCACTTTTTCTGGTCATGGTTTGTTATTCTCCATATGTTGGTGGTATTAATTTTCTGAAGCATAAAAATCAAAATTTACAATCTGTTGTATATTGGATTATTTGATGTTATTTCTCTGTCGAAGAAGAAAGTAAAGTTTCAATTGAGTACAAAAGAGGAGGATATGGATTTTCTTCCAAAACTTAACGGCGATAAGTTATAGCAAACAAAATGGTTTTACTACTAATTAGTTGAAGCAAAGAAGCAAATTTACGGTAACGGTTAACCCCAATAGTGCTTAAGTTACTGTTGAAAAGTTTTATTCTAGTCTTCAATTTAATTGCACTAATTTCATAAGTTAATTTATGATTCGATTGGAATTTGAACATCACACGGCAACCGTAATCAATGCAATAATAAATATCAATGGAATGTCAATTCAATCACGTTGCCAGCCAGGGGAGAGTATATCATTCGGTTTAATATCTACGATGTTTACTCCACATACTTGAGTGTATTGACGTGGCATAATCGAAGAGGAAATGGAATGACGTATTTATTATTATCTGTTCGGATTTTTTTTTATCTTTATCAGTTCAGCTTGGTAATAAATAATCGATTAATGCCCTGCGAATAAACTGAACCAATTTGGATCCTCCAAAGAGTATAAAAGAAATATGGAGAAAGAGAAAAGGAGTCGGGATTTGCTAGTTATTTCCATTTTTATGCTGAACCTTTGTATCCCTTTCGTTTCATGACTTTTCCTTTTTCGGAATGCTTCGCTTTTGAAATGAATGAAATTCAACGATTGGAAAATCGATGTGAATTTTAAATAGCAAATTGATTTCATTTACACTCGACAACAACAATCGCACTATTAAATGTTGATAATTAATGGACGATTTTTTTTAATTTCTTGAATGAATTGATTTCATCGAACCGATGAAGAGGAAGATAAATGAAAGGGCACCGCATTACAATCGTCAATTTTATTTAGGTGTCAACGTTTCTGTTGAAATTTTATAAGCGCGTTTAATTAAAACTAATTTCATGTGTCCATTTGTGTTTTGGTGGTGTCAGTTCGAAAAATGTGCACCAATTTACCCAAAAAGTAAAGTCATTTATCGGATTTGCACACAAAACGAAAAATAAATACTGGATGTGAATTTAAACCGAATTGTTAGCAGTAAATTGGATTCGGTGGTGCTCGGGATGCAATTCGAAACTAACGGACGGTACTTTGATAAATTTCTAACGATGTTTTATGCTGTGGACATATACAGTGTGCACACAGGGAGTGGCTGTCGCACAAATTACATTCTAAACGTAAATAAGTTCCTTATCCTTCACTCCAATTTATTTCATGCAGACGAAACATTCATTTGCACCAACAAGATGTTCATAGTTGATGTGTTATTGTTGCAAAATAAAGAAAAAGAAAATGTTGGAAGAAAAAAAAAAACAATAAAATTGAATTAGTCGAAGAAAATGCCATTAGAGACGTTTTACTCACGAATATGAACGACATACAAAAAAAGATGACAGGACTAATGGTCGATGTTTAGTTTAAATGAAATTCATTGGGGCGTAGAAAATAAAAAGAAATGTTTACAATCTATGTTCTGCGTTGATTACCACTTCTGCTAAATTAGATTTCATGTGAACATTTTTCAACGAAGCAAGGACAGTACAGGCACCTCAACGTAAACACTCACTCACCCGACCGAATTACACAAATACCAATTTTACCGAACCATTTTGCCGCGCATTTTGTATTAAGCAAAATACATTTTTACTGAAGAGATCAAGAAGATTTGCATAAATTTTAATAAAACGAAACAAATCTAATTTGAATGCATAAGGATCATAAAACTATTACTTACATTCTTGGTGTGATGTGATTAACAGTGCTAACAGTTTTGATATTCTGCAATGAAACAAAAATAAGAACAAAAATCATGTTAAAAAAAAACCGTCTACTTCGTCCTTCAAGAGGAGAATGAATAAAAAACGCTCAGTTAAATTGTAACAAATTGAGAAAATAGTCATTGCATTCAACAGACGGAGTCATTGAAACGTGCTAAGCTTGATGAACTGTGTAGGATCGGTGACAAAGAAAAACGAAGAGCGAGAGACAGAGACATGATTATCAGATAAACACGATAAAAAGAAGCTGTGTTTAACTGCAAATCCGACAAGAACAGTACCATCAACAAAAAAAACACGAAACAGAATAAACGTGTTCGAATCAAATAGATAACATAATCTACTTTTCACGAAGATACACCAGATATATTTAGCATAGTGCTTTGCCATACATTCAGATTTGTACACTAAATCGCTTGAATAACCAAAACTAATCATTGCCAATATAAAGCTACTTGCAAAGAGTTTTTCGGTATGACAACTCAAACAATAAATAAAGGGTTTATTATTATCCTTTAAAGCTGACACATTTCGATGTGCATTTTAATATTGCTATTGTAAATTCTAGATCGACATTCAAAGCATACTATCCTACGCAATATGCGCAGCCAAACTGCAAATATTTACCAAGATATTATTAAAATTTCTAATCCGAATATTTCGATTCGAGGCGATTTTCGGGGCAACTAAGAGAAGAAGCAGCGGCGGTGACGAAAAAGAGCTTTAGATCTGATAGACAGTGTTCACATCCTTCGCATTGGAACCTTCAAAAACCATGCTTAATTATATTTTATTTGATTTTCTATTTATTTTTAGTTTCACATTATTTTTGTGATCAAGTGGATTATGTTTAAATTGATAGGATATGTTTTCTGTTTATTTCGCCATCAGCATCTTCAGGCGATTACATTGAACGTTAAGAGTTTTCTCTCGGATATTTTATTGGTGAGTTTTTTACACGTCGATATTGTGATGTAGTGAGAAAATAAGAGAATAAGCTAAGATTCAATCCATAATACGTACAGGCAAGCTGTATAGGTTGCAATTTACGTTCCACAAATAGCCTTGACTTTATACGGCTTCGTTCACTATTCTGACAAAACACACAACAATCGCGCACTGATAGTCTTATGCTAGGGATAAATTTATGTATCAATATTTAAAACGGGGAAAAATGTGTACTTTATACTGCGAAAGTATAATTCGAAGCTGCAACGAACACAGCACACGAATCGCCTTAACTTTCTCGTTACAGTACACGGCATTTTACGACCATAAAATGCAACTATGATACAAGGGCGCATGGAATAAATGGAAAATGAAAATGGATACTTGGTGCTATTATCGTTCAGCCATTGTGAAGTTTTAATGCTCGTTGCTTGCTTGGCTTGAACACAATAAACTATCGTTTTCGAAATGAAAGTGGTCACAATGTTGTTGCGCGCATTTTACTGCAAATGCATTACAGAATCGGAAAAGTCGCCGCTTCACACTATAAATGCGAGTTTCTCATTCCATTCTTTGAGAATTCGAACGATGATGATGGTGGTGGTACATGTATCTCACAGCTGTTTCCATTTCTATTTCCATTATTTTTGCAAACTTGCAATAGCAACAAGTACTCGTATAACGCAACACAATTACAAATACGAATGTGACGAAACTTTTTTCCCCTCCCTGGCCCTCTTAAGCGTAATTTTTTTTTCTTGTTTTGTTTCTTTTTTGTTACCTTCTTGTGGGAATTATAAAATCATTTTTGTATTTATTTTCTGCACTGTTATGTAGTTATTGTTGTGACTGATCACATTGCAATAGAATCGCATTCTATTTGCTTGCTGTGTGGAATGCTTCTGCCGTCGTGCATTCATAGAGCACAGTCAGAGCGTTCAATTTTTTTCCTCAATCAAAAACTGCACGCCGAGTTTCAACATTCGAAACAACTTGGGATAAGTTTGAAACACTATTTTTCCATTAATGCGGGTATTTTTCCTGTTATGATTTATAATGACATTTTTTTCACTTTCTCCAGTTTGTTTTCGACTAGAATTCAAAACATAAACAACAAGAAAATGTCAAAATTGCATATATCCATAAATAGTATATATTTTTGCACGCTGTTCTACTTGAAATGTAAATAAATAAGAAGCATACCAGAATGCCATTTCATTCTAGTGGCAACGACGACAGTGGTGGCGGATTTTTTATTGTCGATATGCTTCTTGTTTCTTTTTTCTCTTTGTGAATTGTTTATAGTTTGGCACATTCGTAAGGCATGGTGTTTTTCACCGTACTCGCCACAAATTGTTCTGTATGTGTTTTACTGAATGTTTGTATTTCGTTATTTATTATTGAGGTGTTTTTTGTGTGAGATGGACTGATTGTAAATGTACAACCATGGCATACCGACGCATTCATGCATACAATTGCAGTTTTAATAACTTGTTAAAAGCATTTATGGGTAAAGGTGAACTCATACGTATACTGTTTGATTATACATTGTACGTTTTTCAGCATGTGGTCCACATGCTGTACTAATCTAAATATGGAAACTTTCAGGAACATTTCCCCTTGTAATTTACAAAGAGTTCCACCAAAACTCGGAATGCTATACTTCGGTTTATTCACATTCCGCGCTGTACATTTTATATGAAAATTCAATGAATGTATATGAAACAAAGCGATCCGGACGAGGCATATAGTTGCATGAATGGGACTTTTGTTAAATGCAAAAATTCCGTGTATTTATCTATTTGTTCTCGCATATATGAATACCTCTGCTTTTCATTGTTTCTATGAAATTTTTTAATGGATGAACCTTTCGCTCTCTTTACGTCTACAAGGAATGCCCGATAGCATTTCAATAAAAAATAGCATGTTGTTCTTTGTTCATATTCTCATTCCGGTGTACACTGTACATCTGTAATGCCAAAACCAATTAAATTCAAATATTTCTACCGTCACATTGCAAAATGCATCCATTATGATTGCAAAGAGCTTTTAAAGAGTCAAATATAGAGAAGCATCGTAATTCTTTTTGTCTCTGTCTTATTGAAATGTTGAATCAAAATGTATCGTACTCAGTGTTGAACGAAAGGTGTTTTCTTTAGGATTCAGGTACTTAAAACGCATCCTATGTTCTTCATTTCTGTCGTACAATCATTTCTTCACATTTCAAATTGTAGTAATGAATACATGAAGTGTGATATACTTTTGCTTCTCAAACAACAAGCTTTCAATGCGTCACTCGAACTCGATGCATTAACGCTTTCCATGTTTGCTTTCGTCATTTTCTATTTTCAACAAATAAAAATATTAACAGACGAAAGAATAGAATGTGAAATGAATACTAAACGACAACATGACTTAAATAAATGTGTACAATGTACAGTCGACGAGTGAATGAGTGAGTCAGAGGCAACGGATAAACTGAAATAGTGAATGACGTCGAATTGTTGCAAGTGCAACAAAAACCACATCTTTTTAACGTTCCTACGTTCATATATGTGTAAAAGTATGCATTATATGAAAAGAACACTTGCGATTTGATTATTCTATTTGGTGCGTTGTGAATATTTAGTGGAACATGAATAAAACATTTATGATTCCGGAAGCAGTGTAAAATCCAATGCAAGCACATAAAGTCATCGCCATTTTATTATAAATAAAAAGCTTTTCGTTCGACACAAACTCAGGCACTATTGTGCACCGAATGAAAAATTTAAATAAAACTGAATTAACAACAATCGGAAATAGTTTCTGGATCGACGACAAAAAAAAAAAAACAATGTAATTCGTTTTAAACTAATAGCCATCCAGAATGACATAAATTTAGGGTAAAAATGAAATTTATTTCCATTATGCTATCTATGATTTTTTTTTCAACATTCCCGTTTCATCCAATGGAAGAACCGATATCATATGTAAAAGAAAATTCAATTCATAAAATTCCTGGTTCATGTCGCACATCGGAAAATCTTGTACGGATATTATGCACTACGTCTTCGTCGATAAATTATTTACTAAGAATACATACTTAAGCCATCTGAAAAATGTACAATGTATTTGTATGAACCGAGAAATAAATATTGTCGTGGGACATTGATGTTGTTCTTTTTACATACAATATAATAGCTCTAAGATCCAACTATTCGCCAAGGTTGAAGTGGAAAAAGCTCGTCGGCATCTATTTTACGGCAAGCAAATGCGCCATGGGAATAGATTTAGAACATGACAAAGGAAGAGTGGGAACAAGAGACAGAAATAAACAGAAGAGTGTTAGTTATGATATTCGCATCGGCCATATTCGACTATATTTTCACACTCAATTTCCGAGATGTTTTGTGGGCTTTTATTTTCTTCTTTTTGCTGTAAGGAAGAACGCGCTCATATTCTCATCGTTCATATACATCGATGAAACTTTTTTTTTATTTGCTCAACCGAGTGACGAAAACAATATAATGTTCACTTTGTATATTACGTAACTCAGCAGTACTTCGAAAATATATTTTATCAGTTTGCCATGATCACCTGCAGCCGATTTTCGCACCCAAACCACAAAGACAAAACAGAATAAAAGGTTTTCGAGAAAATGTGAATGGCGAAAAATTACGGAAAATAAATAATAACTGACAAACGTGAGAGACGAAATATAAACACCATACACCATCACTGACATACACACAGGACGCACACAAGACACAACATATCGGTTATGATGTTATAAATTGACGCTGTCAATACATGTACTTTACGTTTCATTTAATTTTTTTTTGTTCGTAGAACGTACTTTGGTGATATAATGGATTATTTTGGATGGGGTTGTAATATGTTCGTAGACAGTGAATATGAACACTCTCCCCGTTGTTGTTTATAATCGAATTTCTCTTCCGTTTTCATTTTTCATTGGAATTTTTTCGATATATATTTTTTTTTTGCCGTGATAATGTACCTGCTATCTTTCTCCCTTTTTCACTGTCTAATCATTGAGGTATCACAATGCAA